GCTCCTTGCTTTTCACGTGAGCTTTTCAAAAATCTGTTTTCTCCTGATTGGTTTGGGAGATTATGGGAAATTTTAAATCTTCCAACCTACATACTACTGCTGGCACTTGACTAATTAAGGACATCCTTAGACCAAAATAATCCTTTCTGCAATTTTGGTCCCCAAGCCTGCGCTCTCACAAGCCTGAATCAGAAGCCAAGCTGCTTGGCTGTGTGCCTGCTCGACTTTACCAGAGGACTTGGCAGTCTCTGGAATGGCGTGGAGCGAAAACAGAACCTTCCCATCAAACTGTGTGTTGGAGATTGTTGCGGCCCCACCAACAGGGTGGAGACAAAAGCTGGCAGGGGTCATGTCCAACACCCTGTGGTCAGTGCTTGAAGGCAGGGTCTTCCAACATGTCTGTCCCCCAGACGGAAGATCCGGGAGCCCAAGGAAAGCACAGAGTTGATGGAAAGGCAACGTTGTATCTTTGGGGGGTCCATTCCTGGTATGGGTAGATGGTCCAGAAGGGGGGGGGGGAACAGCAGTTTTATTTAGGAACATTTCAATAGGTTTCCTTGCCAAGGATTCTAGACAACTTCTCTCTAAGTGCCCCCAGCAGGGTGGCACCTTCCCTAGCTTCTTTACAGATAGATGGGTGGTTTGTGGAAGAGAAACTGAAACATTGTGTCTAGTTTCAAAGTTGGTTCCTCTTTTGGAGATGAGCAGGACCCCACTGTGCCGGGATGTACCCCTGCCTGTCTCTTATCTCTGGAGGGCCTACACTGGTGGTGGTGTTTGGAGAGACGCCCTGGGCAGCGGGGACAGGAATGCACTCTCTAAAGAGGCTCTTGGTCCCGGGAAGGCTGATCCCAAGGGAGGAGAGAATCAGCTGCTGTCTCTGAGTGAGTTTCCCACCTGTTAATGAAAAATGCCATTCTTAATCCACTTCAGAATTGGATTAACCTAAAAAAAATGTGTCTTTGGGGCTTGTAAAGTCTATCTTCAAGTTGATTCATACTTTCCCCCTGAAAGGAAATAAGTTTGTGATTTTCTTCTTATTCTTCCATTTGGATTCCATGCAATTCTGTAGAAAACAGACTTAAACCAGTTTTTAAGAAAGGAACAACCTCCTCTAACCATGTGGAGCAAGTTTTAATTTCCTTGTTGTCACTTATTTCACATAGAGGGGAGAAATGAGTAGCCCTGGCTGGACCTATGTCCTTCTGTGACTGCAGAAATGTGTGATAAAAGTTTGCCTTCCTCTTATCTCGAGTTGGTATTTCACATGAAAGTCTTTGTTATTGGGGCGTTTCTCAGCTTTGATATCTGACCAGTGGACTTCCCTCAGTGATAGTTCTTTTCCTTCCCAAGTCCTGCCCTCTGGAGGTGGAGTGTGACCCTGCCATTTCCATTGTCCTGCCACCCCACCTCGGCCTTAAGAAAACAGGCCTTGCTAAAGCTGCGGCCTCATAGTGAGCTGGTGAGGGTCCCCACCTCCCCGTCCCGAGCTGTGAAACACAGTTGCACCAATTGCCTCTTGAGGCCCCAGGGCCCTCACCTGCAGAGTGGGGCTGAGGTGGTCAACAGGGCTAAATTCAAGAACCTCCGTCAGTCACTATAGTGGGTAGGGCCTGGCAGGTATGATCTGTCTGTGGTCACCTTGCCTGCTTTTATGGTGCCGAGAGCTGACTTGGTCTGTGCCTGGAGAGTATCAGGAATGAAGGAACCTACGAGATCCGGATTCCCCGCATCTCCTTAGATCTGAAAGGAGGAAACAATCCCCTGTCCCTGGAACCGGCCCATCTTGCTGGAATGGCCAGTTTGGAAGTGGCTCCTACTCGAGTGCCTGCGAGGAGTGGGAATCCTTAACATGCTTTGGTGTTTGTGAGGTTCCGTAGCCCAGATCCACTCACGGGGCCTCCTGGGTGGGTGTCCTGGTCCGTGGTGGGAAGGACAGGACACCACAGCCCCTGCCCACATTAAGGGGGAGGGTTATAGCTCATTACACTCTAGGACGACAAGGTTTTTGAGGAAAACATCTAGATACAATTAGAAATTGAAAACTGAAATATACTTATTTTTTGTCAGTATAAAAAGTTATTTGGGACAGTGTTGAAACTCGAATTAAGACTGATAGTCACAACCTCCTAAGCTCTGAGGACCAGTCCACTAATGAGGGATAAACTGAGTGAAAGAAAATGACAACTGTTTACAGAGTTTGGCAAACATAAAGCAGGGCCTTTTTCTTTGTACAACAACTGTTTTAACAGCTGCTTCTCTCTCTCTCTCTTTTTTTTCTTCTTTTTCCCCCCTTTTCAAAATCCTTCTATCAGGTTTTTGAGTCATGATGCAAGAATCTGGGACTGAGACAAAAAGTAACGGCTCAGCCATCCAGAATGGGTCCAGCAGCGGCAACCACCTGCTAGAGTGCGGCGGGCTCCGGGAGGGACGGTCCAACGGGGAGGCGCCGGCCACCGAGCTTGGGGCAGCCGACCTGGCCCACGTCCAGCAGCAGCAGGTACTGGCGGGTGCGGGCGGCGGTGCTGTGGTCCCCAGACCTCTGCACACGTCACCACGCCCCATGTGTTGTGCTCACCTGTCTATGCATGTGTGTAAGCAGCTTTCCGCCAGCCCCTGCACTCCAGGGGTCCTGGTGGCAGGCTCCAGTGGCTGATCTTCACCCCCCCAGGGAGTTGACATCTTGGAAGTCCCCTTCTGGGGAGTCTTGTGGGGACTCCAGGTTGAGTGGACCTTGGACCCCTCCCTCTTAGCCTCCAACCTATCACCCTGACCTGTGGGTGCTTTAAATGAAGGACCTTTGGAGAAGTGGGTTCCCTGTGCATTAGTTAAAGGATAAAGAAACTTAGTCACAATAACTTTTTAAGAATTAGGCTTAAGCTTTATGAAGGAAGAGACAACGGTTAAAGAGAAGGTCTGAGTGAGAAATAAAAGAGAGGATTCAGGGAGACAAGGAAAAAGAGTACGTGGAGAAGTCATTAGAAATACATAGGAAACCAAAGCCCTGGCTAAACAAGGGGCCGAGCTGCCCATGACACAGGAGTCACCGTGGGAAGGGCTTCCTGCTGCCCCTAGGAATTTAGGGGTGTGTACACGGTTTCCTTGTGTGCTCAGGGCAGGAGGAATACGGCTAGATCCTATTGCTGTCTTATCTTATGTCCTCTTGGTGTCCCCCCCCCCAAAAAAAAAATGCACCACAGCTCAGACACAGCCCTTCCTGCTGGGTCTCTGCAGGCCTGAAGCGATACTTGAGAGTCACAGCTGAAATGTGACCAAGACCTGGGTCACCTTGGCAAAGGGCTGACGTCAATTCCAACAGTGATAGCACTTCCTTGAGGACTAGCCGTGGCTTCCCAACTCTGCTAGACTCGGTCGGGAAGTCCTTCTCCTTCTGCTAATAATTAGAGACGGCCCTCCCTTGGCTGGTTTGCTTCTTGGTTCTGGTGCCACTGGTGATCAGCTGCGGGAGATGGGGAGACCGTGACATGTCTTGGGGCCTCCCTGGAAAGGAAAGAGATTGTTGGAGAGTGGTGGAAGAGACGGGCAGACCTTCTCTTTAACAGTTGTCTTGGAACCTGTATCAGGGGGCAAAGGGCAGCTCTTAGGATAAGCTTTGGCAGCCTCCGGGGTGGGTTCCATGTTCCTCTAGCTAAGAGTCATTTTATTTAAAATATAAGGAGCCAGTTGATGGTGAGCTCATTCCAAGGTGGAGGGACTGGTGGGAGTCGGTGCAACCCATTGGGAAAAGACAACAAAGACAGGGAACTTGAGGTGAGTCCTGTGTCAGTCAACAGGCTTCCTGTGAGGGGCTCCCCCTCTTGACCAGCCGCCCCCAGCCTTTGCACCTGAGCCTCGGGCCTCACGTCAGCTGGACTCTCCAGTGTTGGTGCTGTATTCATTTGGCAGGTTTAAGTGAATGCAAGTGGGCAAATTGTAGCCTACGAGGTGGTCAGCAACATCCAGCAGTAGTAGAAGGGTATCTGTGCCCGTGCATGTTTATATGATGTTCTCGGCTAGTTATGGCCATGTGGACGATAAGTAGATGGTGCTTTTAGAGTTTTTTTTCCCAAGTCCTTATTAAGATTGGGCTGAAAATGGACTCTTTGTTTTTCCTGGTACATTATAATATGACTGTTTTATTATGGAGCTGTTGAAGAAGGGCTGTTGACCCAATGAAGAGTATACACCGTTACATTAATTAAATAACTGGGAGATTAACTTCTTTGGGGTTTTTATGCAGGGTGTGACATTCGTCAGCCTGCCAAAAGCTTGACACCTACAGTGCACCATCAAAACACATTCACACACAGAAAACAGTCTGAGCTGGGCAGTCCAGCCGCAGCTTCTTGGAAAATGATCCGTGGCAAGGTTAGATTCGCCCGCCTTCCCTCTGCCACGGCGGGGGCCACTTTTGAAAATTGGTTAGGGGTTTTGATAGGGAGTTCAAGAAATTCATCTCGATTGGACTTTGTACCTCTTTTAAAATATTCCGTGGCAGTTATATTTCTGTTTGCCGTTAATTAGTGTGTTCGGGGAAGAAGAAAGCAGTTGGGGCTCTCATGGTGGCTGGAACCCTACCTCTCGTGGCCAGCAGGCCTTGCAGAGCAAAAACCCTGATGGCCGCCTGGCTCGCCCGGGTTTGTGGGAAGGCTCTGCACAGGTTGGTGGTGGAAAGGGAGTCTGAGGCCCACTGGAGGAGAGCCCCCGGGGGTGGGGAGTGCTTCCCAGGACTGCAGCCATCAGTCAGAGTGCGGAGGATTGTGACAGTCGCAGGGATGTGGGTGGTGTCTGTCGCGTTGGGGTCGCGGGTTTTGACTTGAAGTGAGGACAGCAGCAGTGAGAACATCACAGCCATGCTGAATTCATTACTGCGGTAGTCACACAAAACCACGGATAAAATTTCAATAACTGCGGGCCACAGTTGGGTAAACAGTTGCACTGAAACTTAATTCCTGTTGACTTTCCCCGCTCCCCGCCGGGGGCACATTCTGATGCCGGCATACAGAGACAACAGGGGTTACGGCTTTGATTAATGCAGGACAGTGGAAGAGAATTAGAACTGTGCAATGCGCCAGGCGTCCACGGGACACACAGCTCTGGCTGAAAGGGCCTGCTGTAGAAATGAGTTAATTAGGCCCACGTTAGCACTCGGTGTCTGGGGATTTTCCAGTCCCACCCATGTTATTGACGATAGGGAGCACTGAAAATAAATAAATGCCAACCTGGCCGTGTTTGCTTACTGTCACCAAAGGTGATTTCCAATGAGAGCAAATTCCCTTTTCAGAGAGGATAGCTCTGACAGAGATTCACCATGGAGGAGTGGATTCTCAACGGGGCTCCAAACCGAATTTGTTTAAAAAAAAAAAAAATCCAGCCAGCTAGTTGACAACATAGAGAAATGGGAGGAATCCCAGGCTTTTCCTTTTCCTCTTGAAAAATAGAGTATCTGGCAACCTTGGGCCACTGTCCCACAAGGGCAGCTATTATTGGGAGATGGATGGCTGCTGAGGCCCGAGCCCCTGCCCCGCCATGCAGGCTGGTTCTCCGAGAGCTCGACTGTCCCTGGGAGTGGAGCTGCGGGTTCTGCTGGGGGAGACACAGCCCACCCTCCGTAGCCATCAGCCACGCAGCTGCTGCCCCAGTCGGAGCGGACTGCCCTCCTCCAACACGGAACCCAGGACTCTGGGCTGTTTCTGCTCTATTTCTATCTGGGCCACGAAACTATTACAAGAGTAGTTTCCAATCACATAATTTGATAGAGTTTCAGAACATCCTCCTCTAGTCATGGAGCGGTGCTTTCTCCACAGCCACGTCCGCCTTTGACTTCCTATTACGCCCATCTCTGTGTCTGTGGAAGTTCTGTATTGGAAATGCCTTGCTCCATTAGGAGGCTCCACAACAAATACTATTACCCATTACCAAAGTTTTTTTTTTTTTGTTCCTTTAAGAAAGGGTTTTAAAATGTCCAGAGCAATTTCATAAACCGTGTGGATTAATGCATTTTAAAAGTCTTGAATTTTAGAAAGCAGAATTTTATTTCCATATTGCTGCAAGTGAGAGCTTTTTCAGATAAGCATATTACATAGAGCATAATGTTTAGAAGTTTCTCCATATACAGCATATGCTGTCAGGTCAATTAACAGAATGCATACTAGGAAATGTTTATTCAATAAAAATGAATAGCTGTTAAATAAAACAGCTATTTCTTAACAACACTCCATGTAATGATGGGTGTCTTTTTTTTTTTTTTTTTTTTTTTTTTTTTTATCTCTTGGTACCACCTGGCAGTTTTATTGTCTGCAAGTCAGTATAGGGAGAGCCTTGGTGCTGTGTTTTTGAGGTGTGGCTATCACTTTATATGAGAAGAGCCAGTTGAGAAGGAGTCTGTGAAAAAGATAAGCTATATTTGGAACTCAGACACGTTATTTAGAGAGTGGGAGTAAATGAAGAGTTGACTTTGCATTGCTTCTTTGACATTTGATTTAAAGCATTGGGTCTTGGGGTCTAAAAGAGGGGAGTGTGTGTTTCAAGTTAACCACGCAAACAAGAGAGAGAACACGTGAGTGGCCAGTAAGAGGAGGGATACAAAGGATGAAGAATGTCTCCTGAAAAATTATAAAAGGGAATGGGGAAGATCCGTCGTGTTGGACTTTGCCCGTGAACCATTGTAGGATGTAAAATGTCCATCACTGCGCCGGACCCTGACCTCTCAGAAGCAGGGTGTGCGTTGTGGGATTCAGGACAAGAGTCTAGTTCTGGGTGTTCCAAGGAGGTTCAGAACGGTAGGATCGGAGGAGTACGCCAGGAGCAGCAGAATTACCATGGGCTCTCTGTCCCCCGGGGTCTCCTCATCAGCAGAGCCAACCCACCCTGCATCTAGAATATTCAGGAAGACAGTTTTGTCTCTTCTGAACATGTGCAGACATTCTTTCTTTTCATCACTCCCTACACAATACAGTATCTCAACTTTTTACTTAGCATTTACTTTGGATGAGGTGTTAGTGATCTAGAGATGGTTTAAAGTATCTGGAGGCCCTTGGGGGGAAGGTTCTGTACAGATACCATACGCCATGTGGAATCAGGGAGTTGTGGCTTTGGGGTGTGTGTGGGGGGGGCCTGGAATGATGCTTCTGTGGACACTGAGGCATGATGAGCAAAGAGCCCGCATTTCAGCAGTTTAAGGGGAGGGTAAAGGTTCTTCTATGTTATAGCACAGATCAATAACTAAGTACAAATTCTTCTCTGCACTTTCAAAACGGCCGCCTGGAGCCCTCCATGAGGATTTGCTAATGACTCACTGTGGGTAGAGCAGAACAGGGGTGCTGTCCTGCAGGCTTTCAGCTCTTGAACTGTCTCCATGAACAACTGCCTACAAGGCAGCGCTGTTGGCAGTTGGATGGGCAGTAGGCTTGTTGGTGTAAAGCTGCCTTTCCTTCCTATCCTTAGCATGCTCCTTTAGGGACCATATTAGGATGCCAGGGGTCACCCATGCCTGGGTCT